CAGAGTCTGCTGCTCTGCTTTTCCCCTCTTTATTAAAAAATTGATGAGCTTTAATTTGTTTGTTTGGGTGGGTGTTTTTGCTTTGGACCATGCTAGGGTGCCACCCACATGGGTGCTACCATGGGTGCACCCATACCCATGCTTCACACAGACAAATACAGATGATAATTGTCTGTGCGATACAGACAATTATTGTTTGTGATTGTCTGTGTGAAGCATGGGTGCATCCATGGTAGCATCCATGAGATGACACCATAGCATTTTCCTTTTGTTTTTGTATGTTAGCCTATGGCTATTTAATTTGAATTTTTTTGGTGTGATTCAGGTCGGTTTGCTATACAGAGTTGATGGAATTGGAATTGAATTGGAATTGAAATTTCATGGGATTCAATTCCATAGAATTAAATTCATCAATTCCAATTCATTTTTTGCACTACCAAATCCAAATTCACGTAATTTTTGTGTTACCAAACACCAGAATTAGAATTAAAGTTCTCAATTCCAGTTCCATAATTTGAATTCTGTGTACCAAACGGGGCCTCAAGAAAATTCACATTTTTTTGAATTTATAAACTCAAACAAGGACTTTGTGTAATAAGTGTTAGTGTTCATTGATTTATTCATGATAAACATTTTTTTACTCATAAACTACTTATAAGTCAAATGTTTTTTTGAAAATGTAATACTCCGTATGACTTAAGTGAGAGATAAGTTATTTGGGATTTGGGAATATTCATAAAAGGTGAGAACAATTTTATAGATAATATGTTCAAAATATAGAAACAAAAAAACTAACTTAAAATAAGTATATATAAGATATTTATTTATTTTTTTGACTTATAAGTTAGCTTATAACCACAAATAAACATGTCATCACATAACTTATACTTGGTAAGTTAAAAACATCATATGAGCATTTTTAATTAACTTATAAGAACAAAGAAACATCTGCTTTATTTCCTAGATGAGCTACCACATCGGTTCGTCAAATGTGGAGTACTACAAATTGTCAATTGTTGTAGTGTGTTAATATAATTGATTTGTGCTAAAAAACACATTTAAAATGTACTCTATCCGTCCCTAAATATTTACAACATTTGCTTTTTCAGCAGTCGCGGGAACTTTTGTTTATTTCGACGTTTTCATTGGTTATTTGATAGAATAAAATATTATTGACACCTCTTATTTCGAAGAACTTTTCATGTAGTTTTTTATAGGTAAATTTTATTTTTTATTTTTATACCAATATTTAAATAAAATGAATTGAAAAAACTTGATATTTTGTCTCAGAAATACAAATGTGGCAAATAATTTGGAACGGAGGAGTATGTTTTTGAAATGTGAATGTGAAATGTACTGGCATAGCCTGGTTTGGCCTATATTAATGATGAAGAAGAAAAAGTGAAAGTGGGAGGGAAGAAAGAAAGAGAGGAATTAAGAAGGGGTTTGGTATTATTATTATTATTATTATTATTATTATTATTATTATTATTATTATTATTATTATTATTATTATTATTATTATTATTATTATTATTATTATTATTATTATTATTATTATTATTATTCACTTTTGTGGTCTGGTCTCTCTTTGAAATGTGTTTGGACGCAAGGGTTCTTTTATTCCTTTTGGCCAATTCCCATTTGTCACTTTTCGCATTGTCTTTTTGTTCTCATCCCTCTCCCATCTTTCTCTATTGTTTGCAAGTAGGAAGTACTACCTCAGATCATATATGGTTTTAACCCAAAGTCTTCAGCCTTTTTAAAGGCAATGCTATTGTGCCAGGGTCACATGTTTCAAAAGTGACTTCAACTTTGTCCACACATTCAATACATTTCATCATGTTCATTTTAAAAAAAGAATAAGCCTCCTCCCCAAGAACTTACTCAGACCCGTTCGGACGGTTACCGAAAGAAGGTAAATTAGAGTTTGTTCATAGACTAGTGGCAAAAGATGGAGCTTGCATTTGATATTTGTAAAGATCATATGCTTAGTAAATTTGGCTTCCAATGCAGTTACCAGAAATTAAACTCAAGTCTACCTCCTAACAGTCCTAAGCACTCTTTGATTTTGCCAACTGCGTAGCGTCTACCGGCATCATGTTTATTTGAAGATACGGTTGGTCTTGATATTTTATGTGCCTTTTAGGCCCCAAAATATTCATCTCTTAAATTTTGAAAATCCTTTTTTCACCCACAATCTTTCTTTCTCATTTGCATTACTTTCAGACGCACAATTTAATTTTTCTTAAACTTTGTACAAACCAAAGAAAAACCATATTTTGAGACGGAAGGAATATGTTTTTTTGAAGTATATGTTTTAAACTAGCATGATTAAGCTTCTACGAGCAATTCAAAGAGAATGCCAAAGAAATAAAAAGTACTTGTTCTTGAGAAAAATATAAACCACCATCAATAAGCTTATTCTTATCTAAATATTAAGTACACCGTATTAAATATGCAACAAAAAACGATCCAGTTGAATTCTACGAGAGTGAAGCCTAGGGAGGACGTGTGTACCCGACCTTACCCCTACTTGAAAGTAGAGAGCTTGTTTTCAAGAAACTCTCAACTCGAGTAAGAAATCGGAATGAAATTAAAATTGGATGAAGATTGAAAAATTAGACAAAAACATGAGAGACAACTCAAGAAATTGAAGAATTACAAATATGTCAATGCGAAGATAAGAAGTTCCAAACTAAACTAATTGAAGTTTAAAATTATTGAAAGGATTAATGTTGGAAAAAAAAGATGAGCCACATTCTTCAGGGATCTCTCAGACCCGACCAGGCGTTCACTGAGAGAAAATAAAATGGACTGAAATCGTAGATTAGTGCCAAGGAGTGGAGCCTGCACCCATAAAGGCTCTATGCTTAGCATAATTGTCTCTCAGCATAGTTGCCAGGAATCAAACTCGGGTCTACCCTCTTGGCACTTCTTGTCTTTGACAACTGCGCAACGCCCACCAGTAAAAGAGTAAAAGATTAATATTGAAGATGAACCGCCACAAAGGTGAAGAACTAAAGAGGGTCAGAAGGGAAATCCGGAATTAGGCAAGTAGGCAATGTTTAATTGGTTTGAGTGGTTGGAATTGTTGGATGGTCCTTTGTGTATGGAGTTTGGAATATGATAACTTACTGTCATATTCCTACTCTCAAGGTTGAACTTGAATGATATTCATTCCATTTAGAATTAATCTTCATATTTTCTATTCCGAAACATACAAAAAAACTTGTTATTTATTATTTGAAGAGCGTTTTGCTAGCGCATCATCTTTCTCTCTTCTGTATCACTTTTAACCATCCCACTTCACTTTTCTTAAAATTCATACTAAATTCATTTAAGAAGATTAACTTAGGGGAGTACTAAATTCGTTTATTTCAATTATCAACATTCCAAACTACTCTGAGTTCTACTCCGTAGTATACAGATTTGTTTAATATGAATTACTGCATTCATACCATCAAATTCTAGACTTGAATTACGAAATTACAAAGTCTAAATTATGAACTGAAAACTACAAAGATCAATTAAAGATTAGACCATTGGTCTATAAGCTTTTTGCATTGAGAACCAGCCCCAAAATTAGGACCGAAAGATTAGATCATTGGATATATTCAATGCCCAATGAAGAAACATCGATGTTTCCTTTTATATGGAAAGACTGAGAGAAAATTAAAGGGGCGCGCGGTAATTAATAAATGATGTGGCCACAAATTAAAGCCGTGTGTGTACTCACCACTAGAAAGACTAACTTGCGTCCTAAGCAATTGGAATGTGGAAGAGTAAATCATACGGAGTACACCCCTAGTATTTCCCGCCCCCACTCCGTTCATTTTTCTTTTTATATGTACTCCTTCCAAAAGTAAGTTCATATACTTGGTCCCATAAAACTTTTCAAAGATAAAAACATTAAATGAGAGAAAAACAAAAAAATATCAAAATATAATAGAGTATATTTTTATTCCCAAAATAGAAGTTTGAATTTTGATAATGTGGTACTGTATATAGATATTTCACAATACTTTTAGACTCCATATTAGATATTGACATGATTGACATTGTACATATATTTAACTCATATTTTAAAAATAAAAAGCATAAAACTCTTATTTTCATATATTTTCTACGTTTTACTTCTACTTTCATCTTTTTTCCAATAAAGATACATACTAATGCGATGTTCTCTTCACCTGATCTGATTGTAATAAGTCCCAATTTGATCTGGTCAGATTTAATCTGATCTAAATGTAGTTATATTTAAAGCTGTTTATGATCTAATCTGGTCTGAACTAATCGGAAATAAAAACATGAAACTCTTATTTTGGTATATTTTCAATATTTACTCCTATTTTAGTCTTTTAGCTAATCCTACATTCCTGCACATCATATCTTATCTTATTACAGAGTACTCCCTCCGTCTCGTTTTAAATCACATGTTTTGACTTTTGGGCATATTTAAGGAAAAGAAAAAAATAGAATTAATTTTTCGAAATTGTCATTACTTTTTAGAAGGAGTGACTATGAATTAGAAGATAAGGTGAAGAAAGGTAACTTATTTTAGGAGTAGTTTAGATATTTTATTTTTAAAAAATTACGATAACAATATTTTGGGAGGGAGAAAAAGGAAAACAGACAATTTAATTTGGGACAGAGTGAGTATAAAATAAGAGGCAAAATAATATCAAAATTACCCATTTTTAAGGTGCATCTTTTTTCGTCTTTGAAAAGTTTCATGTGGAAAAAATATACGGTATGAAATTGCTTTTGGAAAGAGTACACAAGAGAAAAATCAACCGGGTGGGGCGGGAAATGCTAGTAGTTTGGGAATGGACCACTCAATACGATGATATCACAGGAATCTGAAATATGATAGCCAACAGTGGTCATTTATACTCCCTATGGTATGCTCTTAAATTGTGAAATGTACATTGGGTTCTTCTATATTCAAGTCTTTTTTATACCAAGGGTGTAATAATAACATATCTTAATCACTCAACATTAAGGCTAAAGCTTACAGTGAGCAAGAAAATGGACAATATTAGAGACACCCCAACCAAAACAATTATCACCCATAAATGGTTTGCCCATTAAGAACAAGCAAAAGATTCGTTTCCATCGCAAACAATACCTCTATGTGCCATGCACAATTCCACGATCCCTCTTCATGGACTCTTAAAACCGGAGTCAGGTATGTTCGGTGGAGACAGTAATGTTGAGACACGTTTGAACTGTTACAAAGTGAACATTACATTCAAGTTAGATGATCAGATAAATAACAATCACCCAAATTCTCACAAACTGTTTTTTGGAGAAGAAAATGCATACCTGGTGTTGTTTATATTTGCCCCTTAAAAACATCCAATTCAATACAATCATTGTAACATTGAGAAATAACCGCTTCCAACAGATTGATCTATATGAAAAAAATGGATTTGTGACAATCGACTTACCCAGGGATGGATGCTTGGTTTTAGTGTGAACCTTGCGACTTACGACTAATATCACAGCAGCAGTAAACATTAATAGTAAAACTCTAACACAGTAATAATCCAGCAAAGTTAACTCCGCTGGGTAGTACACCGGTGACTCTAGCTGCAATTTATGTGCCTGCAATTAATATACATTTGCAAAGATGAGTGCCAATAACATCAATTGTATACATATATGATCATTCTAAGAGTTTCAAGCTTTACTTTCCAGTCATATTGCGGCAATAGAGATAAATTTTCTGCAAACTCAATTGGTGGCATTAATCCTCACGTCCACCCATTCAACTCGAGTCAGTTTTGCCAACTCTTATGACAATCCAATAGGGGCACAAGCCTTTTTGCCCGAGGCAGGTTTGATCAATACCAACTTCTAACTCAAATACTTTTTTGAAGTTATCAAGGCTTCTTGACATTCTTAGTCCATTAGAAGGTAGATACTACATCAGAGGAGCACAGGGACGACATTCAGATGTTACAAGTCAGTTTCTCTACATTGTATAGATGCATCAACACTAGATGATGATACAAAGGTCATCTGTGACATTTTTAAGGCTTGAGGAGTAGTAAATAGAAGGGGACCCAATAAAAAATTTTATTGGCAAAATAACATAATATACATTATTGAAGTTTTGGTAAGAATGAACAACTAACACAAGGATAAATGTTTTTTTATTGATTGCGTCGACTTCTAATTTTACAACAGAAATAATACAACACCAACATGACGAGTTTGTCCTGCAACTGAATTCATTCATGTCTGAACAGAAAAATCTCTAAGAGCATATGAACAGACAAATGTGTCAAAATCACTCTTAAATATACAATATAGAAAAAAAGAGTGTCATAATCATTTTCTTGAAATTAGTCCACCAACTCATGAAGAGGAGATCCTGACATTATTAAAATTCATTGGAGAAATGTGTTCTCTTACTGCCATGAGACATACTATGATTTGCAAAATGCATGGAGCGTATCGTCTAAAGTCTTCTTGCAGTAGTCACCGGTGAATACACAATTGCCAAGGGGACCTTTCAAAAGGATCAATCTTAGCTCCCCATCGGCCACTTTCTTATCAACCTGTAATTTTAAGACGATTATACACAAGGATTTAAAACATTGATAGTAATTTTATTACTCCCTCCTCCACTATTTTTTTGGAACATGAGGGAGTGACACAAAAATTAAAAACAATAAGATTGTGCACTTGATATTAATGTTAAAAATACTCCGTCAGTCTCTATTTAATCTTCCAATTTACTTTTTACACTGTTAAATTGTGCGGTTGAAATTTGTGTAGAAGAAAGAAATTTGACGTGAACCATAAAATTCTTTCTTTAAGAAGAAATGATAAGATTAATAAGGGATATCTAAGAAAGGTAAGTACGAAGACAAAAAAGGAGAGAGGGAGTAAGATAAAATAAAAATGAATGTGAACCATATCATTATATCAATATGACCAAAGATGGTATGTGACAAAAATAGTAGGATGGATAAAAAGGTTAAAAAGGACAAAATCATGGCACAGAGGAGTATATAGATTCATAAATGTAAACAGATACGGAAAAATTTAATTCTCTTACAGCCATGATGGACTGGAACTTCTCTACCGTCATGGTTTTTGGAGGCGCAGTTGGTAGCTTTGCCTGTTGAAGAATATGACCCACCCGTTGTACGATTGAATCATCAATCCACCCAAGGCGACGTGACATGTCAACAGCCATAACCTGAAATGATCGATTAAGCACCAAGTTTTCAAGAATCAGCTGTATGATGTGTCCGTTCGTGAGATAGATGCATTCGTATGCATTAAAAAAATACCGTTCCGGCAGCTACAGCTTCACCATGCAGCCACTGGCCATAGCCAACACCAGTCTCTATAGCCTGTCAAAATAGACATGCTGCTTCGATAAAAACACATAGCTGAACGAATATCTCAAGTTTAACCTTTTCTGGTTGGAAAGAAAATTAAAAATGTGCTTGAAATAACAAACACTCATGGTAGGGAACAAAATCTCTTTCAAAAAGTCACTGCATTGAATGCAATAACAAAAGGAATTGATCATGTAGATCACTAGATAAACAAACACGAAATACACAACAATTACCCATAAATAAACATACAAAATGAAACAAATTTATTGGGAATGAACCGACATAACACAGCAAGTCTTTCTTTCTAATAGAATTACAAAACAGAGCAACGCGGCAAAAATGCCAACAACTTACATGGCCAAAGGTGTGGCCTAAGTTCAATGTAGCCCTCAATCCACTCTCTTTCTCATCCAATGACACCACCTCAGCCTTGTTTTCGCAGGAGCGCTTGATAGCATAAGCGAATACATTAGGGTCCCTGCAAAAATAACACTAATGATGGATACGTGCAGTATTTCAATTAGATAATAGATACATGCAATAAGTATGTTAAGAAAGAAATCAAAGAATAATCTAGGAAATATTTAGAAAGAACTTGCAAAGTACTGAGACTATATATATAGGAGTGCCACATTCAAAATGTGTGGCCCGTTCAAAACCAAAAATTGAGTCTTGATGACTTCCCACAACTCATTTGTCATCTTCATACGCTAGATTGCAGTGTAAAGTAAGGGCTCGATCATATTTTGTAACGATGAAATGAGCAATGAGTCACATGAATCTTCTGGCAACATTGATGGTCGTAAACCACTGTGTAAAGAAGACTTAGGGAGGTCGATGACTGGAGTGATGAGTGTGTAGGCAAAGAGTGAAAGAGAGAGCTAGAGAGAGCACACACAAATGAGAGTATTTATACTTTTGTTAAAATCATTGAGCACAGGTGCACAACAGTAATAGACAATGATTAATGTCTCTTTGTCGTGTAACATTTTCTTGTAGTGCCTGGCATGTTCTCCCTTTGATAGATGTGTGTCTCTTTTGCATACGCTCTGCATCCAGTCCATGTACCGTTTGTGTCCTTTCTGCATCCCTTCGTTGTGCAGCTGTGTAGCAGTTGAAACTTGAAAGCTCTGACTTGGTCTACTCGGGTACTCTAGGTAGGGCTGTCAACAGATAACCGAAAATCCGATTACCGTCCGCATCCGTATCCGTTTAAAGAGGAAATATCCGCATCCGTTTTAAACGGATATTTTCCGTATCCGATTAAGGATATCCGATTACTAAACGGATACGGATTTGGTAATTGTATATCCGATCCGTTTAAAATCCGATCCGAATATGCATCCATTTAAATAACTGTTTATCCGAATATCTGATCCATTATATATAGTTTTTCCTAATTTTTTTATGTTTATATTTTGTTTCTCTATTGATATTTCAAAATATATGACATTTCATATACAAAATAAATGTGTAGACACATTAAAATACGTACAGACATATAAAAATATGTGTATATGTATGCTGTGTATATCTTTTTATCATATCAAGTTATCGTAGAATATCATAAATCATGAAAATAAAGAAAATAATCATCCCATAACAAATTATAGTTGATTTAATAATAGTTTGACTTTAATCTAATTTAAAATTAAAGTATTGTTTAATTTGATTTTAAAAATTGGAAATGGATACAGATATATCCGATATCCGATGGATGCGGATACGGTTTTGATTTTCAGTATTCGTCAAGATCCGTATCCGAATTCGATATCCGACAAAAATAAACGGATATGGATTTGGTAATAACGCATCCGATCCGATTAATATCTGTTTACACCCCTAACTCTAGGTGCCATCCCGCCATCTCTCTAGAGGTCCCCGTCCCCCCGCCCCCTCCCGACTGCTTGGAGGTGCGAAGCCAGTTGGAACAAGTTAGATCAATGACGATGACAGAGGATGGATGGTGTTGGTGACTTTTGGTCGACTAGCAACCTAGGTTGGGCGACCTAAGACGATCGACCGGAATCTAGCCCATGGAAACGGGTGACCTAGACTTCCACTAATCTTCCATGTGTATCAGTGTATGTTGTTCCTCTGAGGTCGCCCATGGCCAAAGGGTACCATGACTTAAGATTGGCCATGACCCAAAGGTCGCCCATGAGCCAAGTTTGACCATGGCCCAACTTAGGCAATGATCCGAGACTTCTCACTCTATCGTTGGTGGCTATTTGCCGGGTTGTCTAGAATGCAAGGTCTATGCCTCCATCATAAGCCCCTCACTCTCCGGGTCGTGAGAAAGTTAAGGTGAAGGCCATACAGTGTGGTGCCTTAGTCTTCTCTCTTAGTTTTTGTTCAAGTTCAGAGATAGTCTTCGTGTAAGAGTTGTCTTCTGTCGCAAAGATGATATGAGAAACTAAGAAGAGGAAGAGGTTGCTAATGGTGGTGCTCGTTCGAAGAAGAGCGATAGATGTTGTTGACAATGAGCCCAAGGTCTATGAGGGGAAGGCCACCACTCCGGCTACTAGGAAGGCATTGGTCCAACACGAGCTAGATGAGTTAGATGCCCATCCTCTCTGGGGACCTTAGCGGAGGTCATCCCTCTTGCGGACTAGGGGGGACCGGCGTATGGAACTTGTCGGCCCCTCCATGGATGCTTAAGTTTTGCATGGATTCTTGCAAAAGAAAAATAAAATTGACTCAATGGAGAACAAAAAATCAACAAGTGTAACAAAGTTTACCTTGCTAACAATGCTGGCATATTCTTCTCTTGCCATTCAAAAAAGTCTGCATCTCTGATAAGTCCATATTTAATAACTTCTGCAAGGCCAGAAGCTAGTTCTCTGTCTGGCAGTGTATTCAGAGTATTTGTGTCTATAAGCACACATTGAGGTTGATAGAAGGCACCAATCAGGTTTTTACCAAGCGGGTGGTTAATTCCCGTTTTGCCCCCAATTGAAGAGTCTACCTAAAGGAATAAGAAGAGCAAACAATACCATCAGGCATCACAAGACAATGTTTCTCTAATTTCTAATATAGAGTCGTATACAATTCGACAGAAAACATGGAAACTCATTCTACCTGCGCCATAACAGTTGTAGGAATCTGAATGAAATTAACTCCGCGAAGATAAGAAGCAGCAGCATATCCACACATGTCACCAATAACTCCACCACCGAGAGCGACAAATGTACTCCGTCGATCCAATCGCGATTCAATAGCTTTATCAAAAACTTTCATGAGAGTATCCTACAAAAACACAGACAAACTCCACATACATAACCCTAGCCGTATACTTTTATCTATAAAATTCATCTACCATGTCCCAAGATACCTACTATGTTCTTAAATTGTTCTCCATCTGGCAAGATCACACTTTCAACACTGACATTGGGATTTCCACATGTTAAAACACTTATAGTTTTGTCCAAATATAAAGCAGCGACTGTAGTATTGGTCACTATAAGAACTCTCTTTCCGTGAATATGCCTGCAATAAAGCACAAACAGTACAAGCAATCCACTAATCATACAATTGACAAAGGAAATAAGCTAGATCATGGATCTAAGGCAACAGACACTTGAAAAAACAGAGAACTGAACTGCAATTGCGTAAACGAAGCTTCATATCAGCTAACAAAAAAATTTCAATCATTGAAACACAGACAAATTACCTCTGGAGAAGCTCAGGTTGATCGAGAAGTCCAGAACCTATGTAAATCGGGTAGCTACGGTCACCGCCGACATCCACCTCAACAACCGTAGGGACGGAAGAAGAAGAAGAAGCTTTACTCAGAGACGAGTCCATCAAAGGAACTGCTGATCTTGCGAAGACCTTCAGTGGAGTCGCAGCATTGGACTTCAAGCGGCCGGATGAAGGAAGAAGACAGGATGCGGGGAGCCGAGGGGCAAAGGCATGATTAGTGGCTCTGAGGAAGGTGCGATCCGGCCTGGAGATGGAGAGGGCGGGTTTTGGTGGGCAGAAATATGAAGAAGCCATGGAGACGGATAATATGGGTCTATGGGGGAACCGTAATTTAACATTGTGGGAGTTTTGGAAGGAGAAGACAGTTGCAGATGTGCGCGGTGGGGGTTGGTAAGATGGTGCTTGGTAGGTGCGGCGGGCCTGGTGGCCTGTTTCGATTTTGAGTTGGGTGTTTTGATAGAGTAGAAAAAATATTTGACAAGTTTAAGTGATTCTAAATACTATCTTCGTCCCATTCTCTTTGTCTACTTTTGACTTTTAGAACTGTTTATCAAAACACTTTGACTCATCAAATTCTCTCAATGTGTAAGCCTAAATATAGTCATGTGTGATCTTGTTTGATTTGTCTTAACATATAGATTATTAATATATAACTTTTATAATTTTTTAATATACAAATTACAAGATAAAATGGATTAAAGAAGTGCATTGGATAGTGTGTAAAAATGAAAGTGGACAAATACTCTCGGACGGAGGGAGTAGTTTTTTAAGATTTAATTACATTTAAAAACATCACACCCACACACACATACATACATACATACACGGAGTATATAATGGCAAATTTATGAACTTTAGTGTATTTGTAGGATTAAAAAAAGTGAGCCTATTACCAAAAATCTACATGCAAACCTATGAAAAATGTGAGAATGTCTAGATTTTAAATATGGATCTCGGACCACATAAAAATAACTCATACTCCCTCCACCTCCAAATTGATTACAAATTGAGGTTTAGGAAGAGAAATATCTCACCTTTTGAAATCATTTTATTTTCAAATTGGTATATTAATAAAAATAAAAATTACATATTAAAAAATTACGTCAAAAGTTTTACAAAACAAGAGGTGACAAGAATATTTTATTTGATCAAATACTTAATAAAATCACGTAAACAAACAAAAGTTATCGAGAGAAGAAAAAAATTGTAATCAAATTGGAGATGGTGGGAGTATATAATGGGAGAAAGACCAGAGTAAGATTAAAACATTGAAAATATATCAAAATAGGATTTTCATGTTTTTATTCTCGAAATAGGACTTAAAATGCATTTACATTACCAAACATGGTCATGTACATTACCAAAAAGTATAGTAATGTGCACATGTACAATGTCACATTTCCGTCACATTACCACAATGTGAAATTCTATTTTGGAAAAAAACATGAAAGTTATATTTTGGTACTTTTCTTTACGTTTTAGTCCTCTTTAGGGTGATTTCTAGTATATAATCAGGTGATATAATTAACTTTGCAATATGATTTATATGTGAATTATTTATTCATATGTATTTCTTCTTTCTTCAAATAAAATTTTAAGATAGTTTTCTTATGAAACAATATTTTTTATTTATTTATGTGTTGAATCGATCATTTGAAAAAGTAATATAATCATAGTAGTATTTTTATTTTGAATACTTTTGATAGTTATTGATATATGATTATTTTGTATTTATACACCAATTCTAAAGGAACAAAAATTTAAAAAAAAAAAAATCTCGTAAACCCCTCCGTGAATTTTACTTGGAGAAGGAATAAAGAGTATTTATTATTTATTTATTTTTATTATTTATTTATGCAATAAATAATAGTTTTTATTTAATTAAAAAAATTACATATAAGGACTAAAAATTATTCAATTTTGTCAAATAACGAATCTGAAAAACTATTATTATCCATAACTTTACATATATTGGCTTTTCGAACTCAATCAGCCAATTCCAATTAGGGTTGTAAATGAATCGAATATTTTTAGTTCGGTTCGTGATTCATATTCGTATGAGGTGATTCGTATTCGATTTTTTCAAATCCGAATACGAATACGAATCTGAATAAATATTCGAATCCTTATCGAATACGAATATGAATCAAGGGTATTCGATTCGCGAGTTTGACAAATATATTCGGAATATAAATTTAACTATACAAATATATATATATATATATATATATATATATCNNTCTATATATATATATATATATATATATATATATATATATATATATATATATATATATATATATATATATATATATATATATATATATATATATATATATATATATATATATATATATATAGACACACACACACACACAAATAATAGCTAATAAATAGATTAAATGGTTATAAAAATTTTTAAAATCTAAATGAATTGAATATTTTTAAATGAACCGAATTTTTAAACGAACCGAATACGAATTTTAAAAAATATTCGAACCAAATTTGAATTCGAATTTGATATCACTTTATCTTAACGAATACGAATATTATCCATGAATGTTCGATTCGATTCGGTTCGTTTACAACCCTAATTCCAATAACTAAATGCCAAATAGACTTTTTGGCTACTTGATCATTGAAAGAAGTCAAAATTAATCAAAACATCCAAAAAATAATTCCAAAACCAAAAAACAACCATGACCTTTTTTTGAGGCTTTTCCATATACTCAAAATAATTTTTTTTATTTATAAAAATAGGATAAGCTTTGTTTTTTCTTCTCTTAATTCACGTTTGCTTCTATTTTATTTTCCATTTACTTTTCTTTTCTGATGCTTTTATTTCATTGTCTTTCTTTTCCTTTTCAAATTCCTTGAACAAAATAGTATTAAAATTATGAGTTACTTTAATTTTTCAAATCAAATTAGATAAATTATAAAAAATGCGTAGTAATTAATAATAAGATCGTTCGTAGCTCAGTGGTAGAGCATTTGACTGTAAAATAAGAAGTCATTGGTTCGAACCCAATTGGACCCTTAATTTTAGATGTTTTCTTTTGTTGGTGGATGTTACACAGTTGGCAAATGGAAAGAATACCAAAGATTGTCTTCAAATCCCTAGAATGAAACGGTATTAAAATGTATGTTTTAGTTTAATTTTTCAAATCTAATTAAAAAAAATCTAAAAACAACTAACAACAAGAGGGTCCATAGCTCAGTGGCAGAGCATTTGACTGCAGATCAAGAGGTCATTGGTTCGAACCCGGTTGGGCCCTTACTTTTGGATATTTTCTTGACGGTGGACATTACGTAGTTGGGAAATGAAAGGAATACCAAGGATTGTCTTCAAATTCCTTGAATGAAACAGTATTAAAATTTACGTTTTAGTTTAATTTTTCACATCTAATTAGCCAACCTCTAAAAAATTTTTACAAAAAGAGATTCCATAGCTCAATGGTAGAGCATTTGACTGCAAATCAAGAGGTCACTGGTTTGAGCTCGATTAGGCCCTTACTTTTGGATACTTTCTTTTAACGGTGGACGTTACGCAGTTGGGAAAGGGAAGGAATACCAATGATTGTCTTCAAATACTTTTTTAACAGTAATAACTCTATTAAAATATAGTATATGTTTATACATTTTTGATTTATTAAAGCTCGTAGAGGTCTTCAAATCCCCTGAACAAAACAATTTTAAAATTTATGATTTAATTTCTCAAATCTAAATAGACAAACTCTAAAAAACATTAACAAAAGTGGTTCCAAGCTCAGTGGTAGAGCATTTGACTGCAGATCAAGAGGTCATCCCTTCGAACCTGTTTGGGCCCTTAATTTTAGATGTTTCCTTTTGACGATGAACAATACACAATTAGCAAAGGGAAGGAATACCAAGAACCATCTTCAAATCCCTTGAATGAAAAAGTATTAAGTTTATGTTTTAGTTTAATTTTTCACATATAATTAGCCAAACTCTAAAAAGTAATTAACAACAAGAGGGTCCATAGCTCAGTGGTAGAGCATTTGACTGCAGATCAAGAGGTCACCGGTTCGAACCCGATTGGGCTAACTGTTGGATACTTTCTTTTGACGGTGGACGTTACGCACTTGGGAAAGGGAAGGAATACCAATGATTGTCTTCAAATACTTTTTTAACAGTAATAACTCTATTAAAATGTAGTATATGTTTATACATATACGGTGGACGTTACGCAGTTGGAAAAGTGAAGGAATACCAATGATTGTCTTCAAATACTTTTTTAACAGTAATAAGTCTATCAAAATGTAGTATATGTTTATACATATAAGTTTTGACGGTGGACGTTACGCAATTGAGAAAGGGAAGGAATACCAATGATTGTCTTCAAATACTTTTTTAACAGTAATAACTCTATTAAAATGTAGTATATGTTTATACATTTTCAATCTATTAAAGCTCGCAAATGTCTTCAAATCCCTTGAACAAAACAGTTTTAAAATTTATGATTTAATTTAATTTCTCAAATCTAAATAGACAAACTCTAAAAAAACAAAAGAGGGTCCAAGCTCAGTGGTAGAGCATTTGAATGCAGATCAAGAGGTTATCCCTTCGAACCTAGTTGGGCACTTAATTTTAGATGTTTCCTTTATACGATGAATAATACACAATATCATATCATAATGAGTAATTTGGCTCATTATATGGATCATTATAAATATCATAAATAAATTGAACTCTATTAAAAAATAAAGGTCTCTAAGTCAACTCATTAAGAGGGTGAAAAAATCTACATTTCACATGTAGAACTTAATATCATGAAAGCACAACTTTATTAAAAAAATAAGAATATTTAAAATGCCAAACACAAATGTTTACTGCCCTAAGTTTGGGTTTGGCAATGGACAAGAAATGTGATAGCCAATAGTCATTTACACCCCATATGTTCTAAGACTGTGTTGCATATTGAGTTCTTCTATAGAAATCTTTTTATACAATACAAAGTCAACAAATTTTAATCGCTCATAAATATATACCGAACACATTAATGCTGGAGTTTACACCCGTAATGGCTCAATAGTTTACCCATTAAGAAGAAACAGGAGAATCATTTAGATCATTATCAAGACCATACTCCATGTACCAATGTACCATTCACAACTTCACATTCCTTCTTCTTGGACTTCAAAAATAGGAGTCCGGTATGTTCTGTGGAGACAGTAACGCCGAGACGCTTTTAAACTGTTTCAAAAAGGTCATTAAATTGAGATGATCAGATAAATACTCCGTAACAATAAGTCAATAACCCAATATTCTCAGGCAGTAAAAAAAGATAGAAGAAAATGTATACCCTGGGTTGTTTATATTTGTCCCTTAAAGCCACCAAAGAGCCACCTCTTCTACTCAACTGTAAGTCATGTAAGATAGAGACACATTCCTTCAGATCAGAGGACTTATATCCAGTGCAGTGCTGCAGTTCTTGATTCTACAAATTCAGGTTGATGATTGTTCAGCATTCAATTGATATGCATAC